GGCCCCGCCCCAGGCCGGCCCGCGCCCGCCGACCGCGGCCTTCTCCCGCAGAGCTGCAAGCAGACGAGGTGCACCTGCCCCGTGAAGATGCGCCACGTGGACCCCAAGAGGCCCCACCGCCAGGACCTCTGCGGGAGATGCAAAGGGAAACGCCTCTCCTGCGATAGCACCTTCAGTTTCAAATACATCATCTGAGTGGGATGGGGTTTTTTGTTTTCGTTTAGGATTCTTCTAGAAAACTGCAAGTAGAGCAGAATTTTTTTGTTGTTGTTACTGTTTGAAGGTACTCAGGGAGGTGTAGCTAGGAAAGCATGCAAATAAAAGAAGTATTGCAAAGCACACGCACATGATCAGGTGAGTTTGTGCCCAGCTCAGAGGATGCACATTGCAGCTTCTGGAACTTGCACAGGGGAAGAGCCTACATTAATGTTTTGTAAATTAGTGATGCTCTTGGCAGCAACTGACTCAGAACCTTGTAGAATCTTGGGTGGGAAAGGATGTCTGTTACTGCTCCTACCCTTGAACTAATCTTACACTGAAGTTCAAAATCAAATTGATATGTACAGTAGGTAGAGCATCATTTGTGAACAGAACACTTGATAGTATTCACTTACTGTGCACACTTCTGTGTAGAAAGTCTTTGGCACCTGTTCTTCCATCACTAGAAAATGTTTGAGAAATGCTACGTAAAAACTAGGTCACTTCTGGTACAGCTGGTCTGCATTCAGCTAAGCTGGTGCTCTTGCCTTGTAGACTAAAGCCAAAGAAAGGCTGTGGTTAATGCATCTTCAGGGACAGTTCTCACAAACTGCTGGGGAAGGGAGTCATTGATGTTAGGGTCTCTTGGTAAGTGAGTTGCCCATCTTTACTTCCACGAGGTTATCAAGAGAAATGATACTTCAAAGGCTCAAAGCTTGGCTTCCTCTTCTACCTGCCTGTGATGCACAAAGAGCTGTGCACTTAGTGGCTTACACTTGAAGAGTTTGAGCTAGTTATGGTTTAGCTGCCTGCCACTGGAGGAGGATCAAACTCCTGCACCCTTCTGGGACTGGGTTTACAACTAGGAATTGTACTTCTAGCGTTTGGTAGTAATGGCAGGACCAGCATGGTTACTCCCAGATGATGTTCTTCAAGCCCTACTGGTGATATTGGTAATGGCTGCTGTAGGGACATTACACTTCTGTAAAGCATCACAAGCTGACTTGGCATCACCATCTGAGCAGATTCACAGGCTAGTAAGACCTACACCCCCACTAGTCTACCCTGTAGCCAAGGAGTTGGGTAAACTTAGAGGAAAACATACTTTTCTGAGAATGCTAATAAAGCTGTTAATTTTGAAAGAGAGCATAGTAACACAAAGGCTTTTTGCAGAACTCTTGATATAGCTTCTATTGGCAAAGACTGATGTTGGTTATAACAATTATCTACACCTGTGTGCTCAGCTTATTTGAGACCACTCTATTAAAGGGAGAACAAGTCTGAGCTCATGTGGTGTAACAGCTTCAGTGCAAGGCAGCTTTGCATCTCTAAATGGAAGGTAGTGTATGGTGGGGTAGGCAAATGTTGTCCTTTGTACCACTTAACATCCATTTAGAGGGACAGTGAGTGTTAATTCTGTAGACTTAACTCATCTTGTTGCAGCTTCCTGCTTTATTTTAACATGCCCCTACTTGCTGAATTAACTAAGGCTTAATGCTGCAGCACCAATTTATTGCTAAGTAATTTTATTTATTCTTGCTCTCTTCATTATTATAGCAGCATGAGGTGTTCTGGGAGAAAGTAGACCTTACCACCCCTGGAACAGGGTATCATTTTATTTCATGCTTCTACCTGAAGCATTTTCCCCTATATCACAGTAAAAGGAAATATCCCTGGCTTTACCAGCTTACTCAAAAGCTTTCACAAGAAGTTCCATCCTTGCCCTGTTCAACTTGAAAAGTGCAACTGCAGCTGGGCAGTTTTCTACTGTAGATCCATGTCCCTTGCACTCACTGGTCATTACAGCAGTGAACAGTGGCAACTTTCCAGCTTGAAGAGGAGCACAGGTGAGATGCTCAGTGCAGCCATCTGCCCCTAGGCTGCTCAGCTCACAGCTGCAACTCTGATCTGGGATGTCTTTATTTCTGATTGTATTTCCCTCTAATGATGTTCTTCAATGTGTTCTCCTACCTGCCTTCCCCGCTCTAACACCTGCAGTCTGGTCCCAATGGACACAGTGTGTGAGACTGTGATGAGTCTGTGCACCTTGGCACTGAGCTCTGTGTTACGTCAGTATGAAGTCATATGGCAACTTGCAGCAATATGAGCAGTCGAGTGCTTCCTACTTACACAGATGTCCTTGCAAACATTGCTTTGAGGATTACTTGCTGTGAATATGGTGACTCATGCAATTACTATCAGTAATAACCCCCAGTGAAATTGAGTACAACTTAAAGAGTTGTCATCCCCACTAACTAGTCAAAGCAGCAGTTGCTTCTGTTTGAGAAGATGCAGGACAGACCTAGCCCATCTGCATCGAACAGCTAGAACAGGCATGCTTCAACAGCAACTGGTCCAAGCAAGCAGCTGGTGGCACCGAGTGGCAAAAACCCTGCTTTCATCAGCTACTGCAAGGTTTTGAGTCTTGGAGGGGAGTGCGGTGCGCAGCAATATTAAACAAGCTTTACTTCATCTTGTAAGTATTCCTCAGTTCTGCAGTAGCTCTATGTGTCATTCCTCTTACATAAATATATTCAATGCTTTTACTGCTTGATGCCAAAGTACAGTTCTGTATCCTTTTCCACTCTACTGCTCTGTCACGTCCTTGACAGCATACCCTGTGTGTCATGGGCACTGGTTCCTAGACTCAGCAGAAAGGAGGAAAGCTGCTCATGACCTATGTGATTATGCAAGGCGGAAAGGAACAGCCTTAATGCTGCCCATTCTTCAAAGATACCTTGAACTTGCCCTGTGCAGCTTTTGCATGAAAAGATTCTTTTGCATGTGTTAGCTCAATTTGCTGCATCTTACAGAAGATGGCTGATGTTTTGCTTGTTTCTAGACAGCTTTACCACAGCTTCAGATCTGGCACAGCCCTGGCATCAGGTAATGCTCTGTCACAGCTTATGCAGTAGTTGAGAATGAGTAATTTGTTAAAGCAATAACAAAGATAGTTAGCTAGCATGATTCTGGTCCCTAGGGCAGGTTCCACTAGTCACTGTAAATGGAGGAAGATTTATAACATGAGGAAATATGTATATAAATTCAGGTTTGAGTTGCATGAGAAATCCTTTAACAGCTTCAGAAGATGCCTAGGAAAACGCTGTTGCATTAACAGGACATAAAAGGAAAAAACATGATTTCACAGCACCCAGGCCCCTATTGTCAATGTTTAGTCTGTTTAGCTAAAGTATTTAAACTCTAGCTTGTAAAAACACACAAAATGACAGATACAGTGTCTTTTATTTTTACAAAAAAAGCTGGTAAAAGGTGATGTAAATAAAAGTGTAATGTGCCACTAAATAAAACTACTTTTCCCCAGTAAATACTTATTAAATAATGAAGAACACCATCTACAGTACCACAAAACCATCAAAATAACTCCATTTTATCAGGGACAAGGAAAAAAAATACAGTGATTATGGATGTGCCTTGACCAGTTACAGAGTTTGTTAGGATAACATAACTACTGTCAGCAGCCCAACAGTGTGCACAGTGCCTTCAATTAATGCATTCAGCATAATTACATTTCTAGTGGGGTCCAATTCCCCCAAAAGGCAGAGCTAAGAATTTCAATTCTACATTCTAAACTCTGGAATTAGAGCCCATTAAAAAAAAAAATCACAGTGGGTGAGATGTGTATAAAAATACTGGGTGTTCCTTCCAAATCACAGGAATCATGGGACTACATTATTTTTTTCTGTTTTTTTTCTTTCTTCTTTTTTCTTTTTTTTTTTAAAAAAAACAAACCAAAATGCTGTTGGTTTCAACAGAGTCCAGTTTGCTTTATGCTACAGACTTTGACACTGAACTATGAGTATATTGCCTGTTTGCATGTTTTGGTAGTCAGTCTTCTATATCGTCCCAAGTCCTCAGGCTTAAGTTGAGTCATGGAGATGCATGTATGCGCATTCAAACTCTGAACCCTGCAGACTACTCAGACTGCAAGTAATGTAAGTGACTACCGCTAGGGAGAACCCCCCCTCCTTCCCCTCATAGCTTTATACACCTACTGTCTTAACAGTGCATTGCACAAATTTACAAGAAAAATACTGGTTTTGCACTATACAGTTTCTAGAATATATACAGAATAAAATAAGTTAACTTCTAATGAGAATTGCTGATGGGCAGCATATATCTTTAATATACATTTTAAAGTCTCTGCAGGCAGCTACTTTTTGGTTAGTTGTTATCAATATTTGTAACGTAAGCACTGATCAGAGAACTGAGCAGCATTCCAATAAAGTTAACAGATATATTATTTCTTTTAGAAACACTGGGACATCCCAGTTTAAAATATTATTAAATGTCCTAACATTTACACACTATGAGGATTAGGTCTAATAAAATAAAATTTCTTAAAAAATAATCTTGCAGCTCTTTTAAGCATGCTCTGAGACCTTATTTAACAATCATCCATACCTTCAAAAAACAACTGTCACATAGCCATACATTCTAACTCACACACCATCTCCTTGTTACAGACAACAAAAGCAAATAAAACATTGAAAAGTCAACAGTTTTTGCAGTTGTAAGTCATTCTACTCATGTTTGACCACACATTCTTCATGACATTGCAAAGTGTCTCATTAGGTATTAGTTGATGATTATATCTACTACTGCTGGAAAGCCAGGAAGCCTTGCAGGTCTTCAGCCAAAATAAACCAGCCTTGATTTTAGCCTCATCCCACCTGCAATATTGATTCAGCTTTTAGAGGCTGTTACTGCAAACACCATTTATAGTTCTGTTACAACAGGAAATAATGCATATGTATGCATTACATTTAAGCCCTTTTCCTCTTGTGTAGTTTTAATACATATATTTAATAAAAAAATAGTACTGCCGCACAGCTACTGTGTAGAAAGAGCAGTCAAGAAAGATGTTCACTTAAATTTTCATATTTTTACTTTTGATGAAAAAGTTTCTTGCTGTGATTAAACTGTGTGGTTGTTAGGATTGCTGGAGGTGTGGTTTGTTTTTTTTTTTACGAAAGGTGCTCAATAATAGTCTGAAGCGTCTTCATCATCAGTTCTTTTCTAAATGACAGCTGTTCAGAATCCAGTGCTCACAAGATTTGTTCCTGGTTTGATTTTCCCTAGAAGCTGATAAGATTGCACCATGCGTAGAGACTCTCGAATTTCTAGATTAAGTTCCATCAGCTTTGAGTTGGCCTCAGACATATCTTGGTTGGAGCCTACTACTGCGAAGCTACCAGTTTGACCAAGCGTCTGATGACGGAAATATATGTGCAGCAGTGTTTGAACTGGGTCATCTTCAGAACTGCCAAAGATGTCGTGGGGCCAAATAGATCTGTAAACACACAATTTGGATTTAAACATTAAAAAAAAGAAAAAAGATGTTTAAATGTTCTTTAAACAGACATTTGAATGGAAGACATAGGAAAATGCAAGAGAAATGTTTCTTCTGTAGCGTCCTGATAGTTAATAGTATAATTTTCTCAGATAAATTCCAAAGAACAAGTACTACTAAAATTGCCTTTTTTTAAATTGCAAAATATGTATGAACAAGTGGTAATGAAGCAGCAGTGCTTGTCCTTTTCAATAAGGACATCTATCAAGAGCTGAAAAAAACCTGGAGTAGTGTCTATCCCTATCTTTAAATTAAAAAGGCCCTTTAGCAAAATCAGGTCTGAAAGCATAATCCTTAAGCACTTACCTGAAAGCCTTGACCTGTGCTACAGCTGACACAAACTCCTTGTTTCTCAGGGTTTCAATGAGAGAGTGAATAGCCGTTTCTGTGCTCGCTTGGGAAGCCTCTGCAATTTCGATTTCTTCAATACCACTGTCAGATGCAGCCTCAGCCTCTTTCAGACAGCTCTCCAAAAGAGCAAGTTCTTCAGACATGTTTATGACCTAAAACAAATGTAAGAGTGACCTTTTCTAGTTTAAATGTATTTCCAGCCAAATTAACTTTCAGCAGATCAGACTTAAATTTTTCCTCCTCTTTGTAATCAGAAATCAGAGGCATCAAAAGTACATCCGAATATTTGCTGCAGTTGCTTAAATATACGGTTCATTTAATGGCTCAAGTATGCCCATCAGGTATTTGGGCTTTCCTCTGATGAAATTTCTATCTTAATTGGTTCTTTTAGAATTTATTTCAAATAATAAATTTATTTTTCCCCACATCACTTAAATTAAACTGACAAGAAGAATTAAACACTTTGGAAAAGTACAGCAGCAACTGTGTTATTACAAAGACAACTTAAACATGAAGAAAAAGTCTGGAAGACTAGTAACCCAGCACAATAACTGTAGTGCAGCCAGCATATACAATATTATCTTTGGCTTTAGCTCCAAAGGATGAGTAAAATACAAGGCCATCGCTCAGAATATGATGCTACATCTCACTGACTTAGGCAGGAAGTGGGACTTGGGTGATACCGACCTTCCACAACATTCTCCAGATGGAAACGAACTCACTTATTTGCAGCCTTTACAAAAATCTGGAAATCTAAGCGAGGAACAGGCATTTTTTCCTAAGCTGCTCAAAACCAAAGACTTTCACCCTGCTTTTTCGTTTTCCTCCCTACTATATCAAGCAAGACCAAGCCTATTTTTTTTCTCCTACCTCCATTTATTGCATTACAGACCCAGGAGAGAACTTTCAGATGATATTATTAATAGCATAATGCATTCAGATTAACTCAGTATGTACCACGTGCACAGCTGAAGGACATTTTACTTCTGAAGTCAGTACAACTGAAAATCAGGCATAAGATGTCTAGAGCACATCCCTAACTGCACTTCAGATGCGGATTAAAGTTGTGGAGTAATTGAATGGTGGCTAAAGTGACATAGTTACATAAATCAGCTGGTAGCAAGTGATGTGTTCACAATAGGAAACACTGGGATGGAAAGGGGTTTCCATCACAGAACTATGTTGATTTGAGCTGATGTGCCTTGATTGTAGTTTGATTAGAATACACCAGGAGCACTAATGAAATATTTAAAATCCTCAGTATTGGACTCCCTGCCATCCTGTCTATTTAAGAGCTTTCAAGCTGTATGAAAATCAACACAGATAATTGAACATCTCAAAAAATTCTTGCAAGCTCTACTTAAATCTTTTATAAATTGTCTGTAAAACAGCTGGTACACTCCTTCAGTTTTTAAAAAGATGTCCCACTGATAAAAATGTTAATTTTAAATGGTTTGGCTTTAAAATGTCAACAATTAGTTGCTAAATGGCATGGTTTTCATTACCTCTGCTTCTTTTTTGATTGTTTTTACTTGGCTGATGAGTTTGCAATAGGCTTGGAACAGAAGCAGCAACTGGAAATGCAACTTGTATAGCCTCCGACACAACTCCAGCTCCTACAAATGTAAACAACATTATTACATTCAGGCAGTGCAAAACATCTACTATCCAATACAAGAGACAATGAGCAACAACTTCTTCAGTATAGAATGTGCAAAATTAAAAGCAGTTATTTGGTTACTGAAGAAACTGACAAAAAGATTTAGAAGCTAATGTAGCAAGAAGCTAATGAAAAGCAGAGGAAAGCTTCATTCAGTTTTAAATTTAAAGGTAGCCTCTCTCACATAGGTTTAATGTTTACTTTTTAATAAGAAGTTACATTTTCAAGAAGGACGATGGGGCAGGATGTAAAGACCTTTTGAAATGTCATGTTCCAAGACAGAGTTCATAGATCACTTACTTCTATTGTTGATATTTTACTGTTTTAAATTCAGGATCTAATATCCAAAATCATTGAATCTTTCATAACCGTTAGTATAAATATGCAAGCACAGTATATAACCTGGCCCTTAGCTTAGAACTCCCTGATGGAGTAAGAGGAGAATAATTCCATTCTTGGAGGCAAGAACAATGTTTCCTTTATAAAAGGCAGCTCTGATTCTGCTTTAGAAAATACCACATCATATATTCTTAAGGAAATGAAACAGCAGCATTAACTTATGCACTGTCTTGCTTCCATTTTTATGCATCTAAAACACTCGTCAAAGTGCAGACAGTGTTAATACTGCTTTACATACAGACAGACATAAAAGCTAATGCTAATGGAGTAATTTTCTATGACATTCTACTAACTACAGGATCCTATTATCTAAAAAGAACCAACAGTTCAGTGGGTTAGATGATGCAAAATTGAAGCACACAGCATTTTTGTAATAGTCTATGACAAGACATCACTATGTCACAAATGGACGACACAGATGGAGACCAGCTTGGTGACTGGCATGGTTAAGTAGTCAATAAATCAAGAACCATCACTTACTGCTAGAATTTCCATTTGCTAAGCAAGAAGATGAGCAGGTCACAAAAATACAAAGAAAGAAAAAAAGATCAAGAATTAGCATAGGAAATAATTTGATTAGAGTAAAAGATGTCCCAGAAAAAATGGAGGAAGAAATACAAGTAACATGCTCCAAATATACCTTGAATGGAAAAAACTAACAGACTCAATTTGAAGTTAAACTACTTGCTGCTATAACTAAGGATAGAGTTGTTGTCCCAAACATGAGTAAGGTACTTCACTTACAACCCTGTCTGGTCTTTATACATTGTATAGTCTTATAGGTATGCAAATTTGAGGATGTCAAAACCAAGGACATTGAAGACCATTGCAAGGTCTAAGCATCTGTACAATGCTTTTTTTCTCGTTCTGTGCCACTACAGTTTAAGCAAACATAACATCTTTTAAAATTTGAGATGTGATGTTAATTTGGATTCTGAACCAGTTTAGAAAATTCTTGGTTTTGCTAAACTCAATTCTCAATACTTCACTGTGAGATTTCTGTAATTGCACTTGATTTTTAGAAGCTACTTCAGAAAAACATTTGGGAAAGAAATCATCAGAAGATATATTTGTCAGACTAGGTACAGGAACTTCACTTCTATGCTTTGTACAGTGCTAAGCGTATTGATGGCATTTAAGCAAGTACAATGGTCATTGTAAACATACGAATATGCAACCGATGTCCAATTCCAACAGGCAAAAGCAGTTGAGCTTTACTAAGCACGTAGTTACATATGATGTGTATGGTAAGTTACGCACTATGTGCTTAACAGACTATAGACATTGCATGGTTTTGTTCTGTACTCTGTGCTAATATATACATAGCACCATTATTACATAAGCAGAAACTTCTGATGCACAGAACACTGCAAAGAGATAAGATCTCGAACTGCCAAAGCCGACAAGAATTCTATGACTTGCTTTAATGAAACATAGAGAATCAGACTTTGAGGAATGGCAGGGTCGATTATTTAATATTTTTAGTCACTAAGTTCCTGTGTTCTTTAAGCCAAGCCTCATTATTACTGTAAGCCATAAATAATCCCTCTCTCCAAAAATCACATGTTGACAGCTATTCTAAAAATTCAAGAGAGGTTTTCCTTTAAAAATGGCTTTGCACTCCTTCAGTGTCTTTCATACTTGCTCACTTGAGAAATAATCTGATTTTTCTACCTGCCAGTCCTGTACAAACAATATAGCCAGAGTCCAGATGCATTTGTTCAGACTTGTGTGTAAGCACTAATAGCAAAAACCCAGTAATTAGATTTACTTGCAAGTCTGTTGGCAATGCATGAGCCAGAACAGAATTCATCTCACTATTCTTTAGCTGTATTGACCACAGTGCTAAAAATTTGTAAGAAAACCTTATTTGTGTTAATGAATGAAAAATCTCTTGAATGAAGCAGCTCTGTTTTCCTGAGCAAGACAACACTTAAAAATTTTTAGCATTAACTGGTCAACTGGATAGACTGATCAGCCCCACACTCCATTTACAAGGACTTTTGAAACCAATACTTGGTAACTTCTCAACCTCCTTCAAGTCACTATAAGCTTCTGTGAATAGATTTAGAACTTCTGTAAATTGTGTACATTTATGAAGCAAGATAACAGGACTCGACTTTCTCAATGGATACTATACATTAAAACGATTTTAACTGAATCTGCAGGTGCAAGGAGCACATAAAGAAAAAACTGCCAGCATGCCTTGCAGGCTAGGATTTAAAACCGAAGTCAAAACAGGTCCCTGTAAACAATCAATGTGAGTGGACACATAACTCCTTTTCAGAGGCTGTCTTAAAACCCTGCAGAAATGGAGAAGAACAGACAAAACTACTTGACACAGAATCCTGTGTTCTCCCTGCACAAGCTAAAGGAAAGCCTGCATGTGGCTTTCCCTCGAATTCTTACATTCCCTAGCTATACAGTGGGAACATTCTAACAGTTAAATGCCAGAACAGTTTTTTGGTATATATGAACAACATTCTAAAAAGAGCAGCATTTATGTATTTCAGTCCCTATTATTCATATATAGAACATTTATCATACTGTAATAGTAGATGTTGTTACATATTTCTAAACACGTACCAGTCTGTACATGAATATGTAAAACAAGTGTAAAATACACTAAATGTTGTGTTCATAGGCAAAGCAAAAATCCTTGCAAATGGCAGCAAATTATTTTGCTGTATCACCTATGCTTATCCACATGACATGTTTTTTTAAATGTGCAGCTTTGATGCAATATAAAAGTCAACAGTATATTCTCACTTTTCACTACTCTAAAAATTCAGGTCCATTTTGTGATTGAATTAAATACATACATACATATATATGAGAGCAAATGAAAACTGTATAAAAGAAGAAATAGTCCATGCACACAGTAGACATTTCTGTTGCTGAACGCTGCATTTTCAGCAGCAGAAACATGACCAAGTGCATCAGTGAATAGAGTTTGATTGACTAAAAGGAATAAAATTCTTTCTTTTTCAGCTTGGATTTGGGATTTTTGTCAAAATGTCATTGTGAAAAGGTAAGTTCATCTGCTATCTGCAATTCTACCTTCTTACATCTTTCACTATTCTTATTACAGGACTCTGGATGGCAGATTCCTTGTACCAACTAATGACAGGCGTTGGATTTGCTTTTTTTTAATCTACAGTGTCAATATTATGCAGCTCTTGTTTAAAAAAAAAAAGTCCTAGCCTACTTGGGGAAAAGCTATCGCTTACTATGGCAATTAGTAATATTAATCATGGATGACTGCCATGCAAATACATACAAAATATTGAACTAGTATTAATAGGTTACTTCACCTATTGTTGTTAGATGATATTTTGACAGAAGTGTTTAATGAGATTTTTCCCATACTGCTACTTTACTCCTTGTTCCTTCCCACCCAAATAATGGCTCCAGAAAGGTCATATGTATTCATATAGTACTAATTATATTAAATTCAGCACAGGTATTTGGCTAGACAGTTTATCTGAGCATGTAAGCAGAATGCTAATCTTTTTTCTTCTAGAAACCGCTGCAGAAGCTGCTGCTGGTACACAGATGGTATCTAGTCTGCTTATCTACTCAGTATTATTAAGTCTAGAACCCAAGATGGGTTGCCAACTTTTATTAAAAAAAGCCATTTTTATTAGACCACTACTTCATCAGAGTCTCAGTTTCCAAAAGATAGTATCATAACTGAAATGAAAAGCTTTTCATACATTTTTAATCTGTCTGCAAATATTGGAATTTTTGTCCAATAGATATAAATATGTTTTTTAATCTCACACAAATGACATACACCTACCTGGGCATCTGTGTTGGTGCCATGAATACTGTCATCAGGACCAAATGTTCTTTTGCAGTCTTCTAGCCACTGCGAAATAAATATGAACAACATTAAATATCTTCTGAAACAGAGCAAACTGATGATACAAAATCAATTGTTTACCAATATTGTCTCCACTAATGATTTCCACTCTGATATATCACTCTGTAGTTTTTATTGTGTCCCCTCCATTGTAAATTTCCTGTAGCCTTCATTACCCCAGATGGGGACAGTACACTTTTAGCTTAAATACTAATCTGTGATTGAATTTGGGTACTGTTATAGTGAGAAGTGGGGGAGGGTGGAGGCAGAAAAATCCCTTTCATTAAATGAGATCTTATCTTCTCTTTACTTGCTGCACAAGATTTACACCAACGTGATTTCTCAGCATTTAAAATATAGCACTAATTCAAATTAGAGAGTAAGAGTAAGCCTGCGATATTTCTTGGGACTACTTTAGAAACAGAAGGAAGTAAGAGGTCTCCTGTGTAACTAGATGCAAGTGCAGGTTTACTGGATAGAAAGAAAAAAATTGTTCAGGGGGACTTCAGCATCACCTCCAGTTCGTACAAGCCAGGGAGATGAAGTATTCTCCCATTACACAATGCAAATATGCAGATTCCACTCTCTTTCATGAATACAGGGCTGTATTTAACCCCAGTTCCCATAGCAGACAACAAGTTTATTAATTTCAGAGGGTAATCTCTTCTTCTAGCTTTAACTGACCATGCAAATTTAAAAGTATTAATATAAAGCAGTTCCAGAATTAAATATGCTCTTATTGGACAATACAACCTGATCATCTCATCAACACAGTGCCCAGCATATTTTTCCTTACAGTGCAAACAACTGCAAGCATGAGGTAATTCGTGTATTACTGAAATGGGAATGCGTCACATTGAGTGCATTATTGAAGTGCAGATTATCTTCTGAAATGAAGAACAGGTTGTATACATCCAAGGATGAATAATTTAGCATGCTGTGTGCTTGATATCTTGAGTCTCACAGGAAATCTTTGTGACCTTTTTCTAACCTTTGTCTGATGCAAGAAAAAGAAAAATGTGATTTCACATCTGCTCAATTTAATAAAGGTTACTTAGTGAATTAACTAGGCCTGTGTGCTTATCAAGAGGAGAAATGGAATTCTCTAAACACCGTGGTGTCAGTTTCAATTAGTGACATTGATACCAACGTACACAGCAAATCTCATTTTTCTTTTTATCTGACAGCATCCATCGGTAACAGTGGAATACGTTTGCACTGGAACAAACAGCGTCATCAATTGGGAAGCTAGTATTTATTTTCACACACTGCCCTTTTAAGATCTTTTTTTAAATCCTAAAACCAGTCTGAATAAAGGGTAGGCCTAGAATGTTATGTTATACATATAACCTTATATTTTCTACTACATTTATCTGGTTCAGTATCTTTGTCTCTAATACACATACGAAGTCAAAGCAGTTTCCTTGCAAGGAAATAGAACAGTAGCTCCAAAAAGGTGACAAAATTAATTTGCTAAGAATTTTTGCAGAATGTATGTTAAAAGCATGGTAGGAAGACCTAAATTTTCTCTTTGGGAACAGCAGTAGATGGTGTGACAAAACGATCTTTATATGCTAGCTTTACATCAATTCATGTTTTCCCTGGATATCTCTTACAAAGATATAGGGTGAAAAGCATTACTGAAAGTATAATATAGGGAACTCTGTGGTTGGTCTTGGTCATAGCACAGGCTGGTTTGCCAGATTAACCCCAAAACAGATATCCCAAACCATCCCCTATATCTATAGGTACCTTTCCTTCTCTTATCTCAGTGCATAGGTAAGAGTTGCAAGCAACTGCAGCCCAAGCCTTTTACTTTTAAAATTTTATTCATGTGAATGCCAGTACAACACACAGCACTGACAGTGACAAACATAATCTGGAGGACACCAGATTAACGTGCAAATTATATGTATTTAAATATCTGTTAATTTATATTTACTTTATTATACAGTAGCCCAGACAGCTTAGTTTGATCATTTTTCTATGAAAAAAGCAAGGATCTGCAATAAAATCATTATGTGTTTTGCCTTCATACTTTCATATTGAATAGGATACATAGCACAATTGCCTGTGATAAAAGAAATTCAGATTTGACCTGAGGAAGTCTCTTCAATCATTCCCTATACTGTTTAATAGGACAGAGTAAGAAAACCAGTAAAACATATCTGAGGAGTAGCTTTGGAAGATTCTTAATCTACATATACTGTATCATACACACACACACAAAGCTTTTAAAAAAAGTTTTAGAAAAATAAATTATCTGAGATAATTAGTCACTAATTCTAAATTAACATGCTAAATAAACACTTAAATAATGCACTAAATTAGCTAAATGACATGCTATTAAGAGTCAGAAATGTTTCATCAAAGCTATACACTTTTTCCTCCTCAGTACTGCTTCCTTTTATTTATAAATGTTTAAATAAAAATAAAACTCTGGCAATATGCTCTCAGTTGTTTCAGAACAATTTCCTTTCATCCTGTGAACCTTTTTCCTGCTCCAGTCACTCACAAATCCTGTGGCAGAAGACAGGCCAAACACAGAAACATGTTACTGGACACCCTTTTGACAGCTGCACTACAGAAAAACAACACTTTCACTATGATATAATGACAGAGGCCATCAAACTGATATCCATACTCCTTCATCAAGTAAAATAAAATGCAAACAAGCTCTTAATATCCAGCATAGATTTATGTCGATATGATACCTGGCAGTGCAAAATTAGCTGAAAATACATAAAGGTAATTCATGGCCACCTGAAAGGGACATAATTTCAACTCTTTATACTTTGACAAATCAACCAAACAATACGATTTGTTATTGCTATGATAAATCGTAGGCTACATGAGGAGTTTATATACGCAGAATTCCTCCATGTTTGGACAGACACCGTTCTAAGTACATACTCCCACCCCCCTGCCGATACCTACGAGTTCCTCTCTACCCTGCCTCAAATCTTCCTGTCTGACCCTGGGACAAATCAGTTAGCCTCTCTGTGCCTGTGTTGCTCTCTAAAATGAGGAATAAAATACATCACAACTGATGACAGCATTATGCACTGGAGATTGTCAGACATTAAATATTACATTGAGTAAGGTAATCTTAGTCATTACATGAGCACTTTGTTTCTGATTAAGCCTAAATGCCAGAACATAGCTCATTACATTACCTGTTAGTGTACAAACAAATCGTTATTACTACAGAGCAGGGCAGAAAATGCAGCAACTCTTTTGCAGAAATGCTGGCTGGTATCCGAGAAACAGTTTGTTTACATTAACAGTGCTGTGTGGCATTTTTAGCATTGGTTTTGAGGAAACTGCATTTCCTTTGAGATCTTTTCCACAAAAATGTGGTTGCCTGTTCTATTCAACAGATGACCTGTCAGCAATCTTTGCAAGGCAGAGGCCATAATTTCCTAATAAACTCAGCATGATCAAGGAATGTGGAGCCACTTGTGCTACAAAATACAGCTGTGCCAAGATGTCATGGCTTGAATTCTGTTTCTGTTTCACATCACTCAAACTTGCCTATACAACCATTGTCATGTCCTCACAGGCTGCTGAGATCTGTAAAAAGTTCCTTCAAACACATTAAATTTTCCTAGGAATAATTTTCTCTCTACAACAAAAGCCCCATATATTTTCTCTCTCCCCCTGTACCTGCAAAACTGATTGTAGATTAATGTTTTTTCTTTTGTCTCTTGAAAGAGAAATCTTACCTGTTTCAGTTTTCTGAACTTAGTATTTTCTTTCCTAAACTTCAGACAAAGGTTCACAAAAACAGAAATTGCTACAGAAATTTTCAACTTTTAAACTTTGTGTTTCTTTGCAAAAAGGATATAACCACTAACATATACCTTGAAAACTAAACTGTATTATTCTAAATAACTGACATAAACGTCAGCCTCAATGGGATCCAGTTGCAGGATGAGAGACCTACATTTATGTCCCTATGTATGATACAGCTATTTAAGCCCCCCATTATAGTAACTGGAGATCCAGTCAACAACAAGAAGTCTAAAGACCTATTCAGCTGAGCAAAAAGTCAGTATCTATATTAGGATAAAATGCATTGCTTTCTTGATTTCTTGTATTGACTTGATCCTTGAATACTATGGGTGTTAAGACATTTTATTCACCTATAGTTATCTGTAAATGTCTTAATCTGGAGGTGAATCTCACCCTTCTAGTCTAATAAAATAAGCCAGAACCTTCATAAAGAAAAAAATTACTGTGATTTATTGATATTAATGTTTAAAATATTTGAGCATTTTTAAAAGAGGATTTTTAAATTAGGAATGTGCTTTTCCCAATGCTAGTGCATTTGTGCAATGTTATATATTCAAAGTCAATTTCAAAAACAGGTGCAACAAAAGTGAATTACACATAAGAAAAACCTCAGGTTCAGATTACACACAGAATAGTAGTAAGAAAAGAAAACAGGTTTTTACTTTAGAAATTTTTTCACAGTTTACTTTTGGATACCTTTGTTGAGAGATAAAGTCCTGCAAAATTTTCATAATGAGTAGGTTTGAATATTTTTGTTTTGAAATATAAGAGACTCACCTGTTCTGCTGCCTCTCTTTTGACATTATAGGTATCCAGGTGTTCTTGGAGCTCTAGAACACTGAACTTCAATGTTTCTAGTAAGCCACAAGACATCAGCTGAAAGATAAAAGCAATCACCTCTGTAGTCATATGACATCTGACTATAATCCATAGTCTAATATCTAAATTATATAATATGAAATTGCATGTCCACATTTGGAAAAACAATCAAATCAGAATTAGTTGGGTATGGATTATTTGTGACACCTTTGAGTTAGTATACTAATGCATGTAGCTGTATCAGTTAAATTGGTGAACAGCAGTTTTGATTCCAAAATAAGAGGAGTACCTAGCTCACATGTGGAAGAAAAATTTCAAAAGAGATTTTTAGATCTTTCAAAAAGAAGAAGAGTATTTGATATTCACACAGCTAGTGTAAATAGAATAGGCTGCAGCAGGAAAAAAAGGTGCTGCTGGATTGCTCCTGTAGCAACCTAAGGAGTGCCCAGTGAGGATTACTTGCCCTTCTCAATATACGAACTATACCACCAGGAAAGGCTTCAGTCTGTAGGAACCAGGAATTGTCAAAGCAGGAACTGCTGGATTTTTGAAGAATTTTCTACCATTAATGACTCTGCCTTTTTCAACATTGTTTCAAAATCTCTTTTTCCCCACAGGGGCTGCTACCTCAGCTTTGACTCCACACCATTTCTCCCTGTAGTTTTATTTCCACTTGGGTTTTTCTTATTAATCATTCTCCTGCCACTTCTGTAATAATCGTGCCTTGACCATCATATGCTTCCTCCCTCACACTGGTCATTCCTTGCACACATTAAGACCTCTGTGCTTATCTCCAATCCCTCGTACCTCTTGGTCAGCTTGAAAGTGCAAGCGCATGACAAAATTGTGGCACAGGGAGTCACAGTATCCCACATTACTCAGGCAGGGGTGGGAATGATGCTTACACGTTCTTCCAAGTGCATCAAGATCATTATTCTACCACCATACTAAGATACTACTCACAACCTCTATCCCCACATCAACCAAGAAGCAAGCTATGGCTCCATGGCACAATGCCGCTCTGCACTCTCTGTTCACCAGTGAACCGTGCTTTGGTGTAAGGGGGCATCTTTCTGCTGAAAACTACTTTCTGAATGAATCAAAAGTCAAATGTCAATCTCGTATGCATGAGTAGACATCAGGAAACCAAGGACTTGTGCATTTTGGATTAGCCATTCTTTCTTAGTGAGAAGTGATCTGACAAACAAGTAGGTTTGTTTCAATGAAATTACTTGTAGAGCAAAGACTTATCTACACAGTGTTTGCCAATGTAACAACGTTAATCTGCGTATGAGCATACATATGCACATACACACACAAGTCTGTATACTTGTGTGCATATATATAATATTTATTATTACTTTTTTATATTTGTCTTTTTTAATATATATACACACATTTATTTTTAAAACACACATGCTGTTCTAGGTAGCCACTAGTTTAACACTTCTTGTGGCTTCTTATCCCAAAGAAATTTATTCTTTTGGTTAATTTCTACTGCTTTTAAAGTGGTATAAGTTAAACAAAAACCATTACATATTATTTCCTTGAAATGCACCATCCATATCATGCTTTTTAGTCCCCATATTTTAAGTGAGAGCATAAGAGCAAAGTACCCCCTTGGCACCAAGGGAAAAAAACAGGTCAGGAGAAGAGTCTCATAACTGGGTCAAGGCCAAAGATCCATCTATCTCAGTCCCCCATCTGACAATGTCTAATAGCAGTTGCTTAAGGAAGGGCAAAATAGGGCAAGCATGTGGTGATCCACTTGCTCCAGAATGCTCTCTTAGCCTCTGTCAATGTGTTCTGTATATTCAAAAATCTATTCAGGGCTATTTCTTTCATATAACTCTTTAGCTGCTTTTTGAAAACATGAACAGACATTGTAAAAAAGGACAGGGTTTCACAGTTTATGTATCACATGCAGGATTTGGTTCTCTATGTTTTGTAAATCACTGCTAGCTTAATTTGATCACCCTTAACATCAATTAAGATGACAATACAATAATTTCTAGCACTTTTCCATGATAACCAAGACATCCATGAACACATTTCTCTCTTAAAGGGCTGAAAAATCCTAGCCTGCATACTTGTATTGCATATGGAAGCCATTCCACTTATTTCATAATCCTTGTGATCTTGGCTTGTAATCTTTTCCAGTTCAGCTGTATCTTCTCTGAGAACAGGGGACCAGAACTGCCCCAAAAACTCAGGATGTTGGTATACCAGGGATATGTACATTAGCTCAATGATGTTTTTGGTCTTGCTATCTCTTTTCTTGATCATTCTAGCATAGCTTTTTTTGACTGCTGCTGAAGATTGAGTTGACTTCTCATATTAATATTTATTATAATCCAAGATTTCAACTTGCATAACAAACAATTCAAAACCTTCATTGTATATTTGTAGCTAGAATGTTTTTCTAGTGCATCATTGAAGAGATACATAAACAACAGAATTTTAAAAGGCAAAGTTGGTGCTAGATAAGTAGTCTTCCTTTTTCTTCTCTGTACAAACAATATAGAATAAATATGAAAAAGGAGGGACGGTAAAGAACAGCAAGGGAATTTAAATTATATCTAGTATCAGTATTGTTCATTTTTACAACTGGAGGTTATTTTCAAGAAAATGCACTTCTCACTTCTTTTTTCAAATGTTTGTGGTACATAGTGGTCACCTAACATTTTAATTTCTTTCTGATTTCAATTCTAAAAAGCATCTTTTTTTTTAACATCCCAAAATTATTCAGATGTTTCAACTAGTGACATTAGAGAGGAACCTTTTAAAAGGCATACAATTAACACATTATTCAAACCTTTGAAAATCTTCCCAAGCATTGCTATTTTTCAAATGTTAAAGCATAATTTTGTGTGCTACAAAACAATGCTTAAGCAGACAGATATTTCAACATGTAAATTTATGTGATTTTTACCGTTTCCGCATCCACAAAGACTGTCGGACATTCTGAACATAACATCATAACTTCCAGAGAACTTTCAAATTTTTTTCCAATGCGCTGTAGACTTTCGCCAAGAAAGCTGACTGAATCATTTGTTATAGATACAAACTTTCTTTGAATGGTCTACAAATCAAATCAGAAAAACGTTTATTTTACAATGTATTTTAGTACCCCTCCTCCTCTGGCTTTTTTGATTAAGAATTTCAGGGCAAATTTCCATCATGACAGCATATATTTTGTCATTAAATTACAAACTAATACATAATTTCCTCTGAATATTTATATAAAACTAGTTCCAGAAAATGCAATCGATCAATAAATAAAACGGGCCGGTATCTATAAAGACAATTACTCCTTTCACATCTAGGCCTTTAGCATCAGCATAGCTGGATGATTATTTGTCTTCGTGCAGTATAGATAGTAGTAAGATTCATTTTCAAGTGTTTGTGTTGCAGAAAATTATGCACAGTTCTCCAAGTGAGAACATAGCATAATCTGTGTCCAGAACTGCTACCCGCAGGGTTTCTACCTTCTTCAAAAATCAGTCCTATGTATATCGTGTTCGACTATGCAGACTGTCAGCTTGGCCTAATACAACATTGTGCTTTGCTATACGTTATTTAATAAATTCTAGAAAGTTACATGTAGAATAAAACTATACAAAGATGATATTTACAGATGCAAAGGTAAACATAGTGTAGGAGCCAGAAGGCAAAATGGAAAGGTCCAGTCAAACAAGGCCTCCAGGATCTCATTTAATAATTTTAACCCTCCTGTGTACCCCATAACAACTCCTCAGGAATATCTCTTTGCCCAGGCTCCAGCCCTGGAGTGCTATTGCCCCTTTTCCCAGAGTATCCACCTCTCGAGATGACTGAGGGCTATCCTGTCAAGCCACAGAAAGTTTCACCTTTCTTTCTAGCTTCCTCTTTAATGAACACAAGAGAATATGAACTCCCATTTTACCGCTTTCAGGAAACAAATGAATGCATGAAAAGCAACTGCAGCTAAGCTTTGGTATAATACAGAGAAACTAAACCTGTGATGTCTAGATGAAGCAAAAAGACAAAAAATCTAAAACCAGTAACAGGAATTTCACAGTGATGTGGCAAAATACTTAGTTCAGCTAAAAATGGAAAATAGGTATAGATGTTCAAACAAGTTATTCCACAGATACGGTAGAGTATGAATTCTTCACACGTAAGTTACTTCATGGTACTAACCCTGAACCTGCCCATACATATGGGATAAAATGCATGCTAGTGTGGTGAAACAAAGTGAGGCTTTCACTGAGAAACGTATTATGATATACCAAACAGCAGAAAAAAATAGTATTTGAGATATAAGAAAGGGATGGAGTCATAAGGTCTTGGTTTGTAGTACTGAATCTGCTCTTGGCTCACTCGGCACGTTGCCCATAAATAAAATGGATTAATTGTGCTTCTCCTGTCCCATAAGAAGGTGCAGAGAATTACGTATATCTAAGTGTTACCACTTTGAAAGCGTAAAAAACCCATGCCCTCCATATAGGGAGGAGGGAGCCAGAAAAATTAAGACATGGGCATTTTGTGTTGGATACCAGATCTGAGGCAAATACAGAGATGCATTTGAAACTTCCAGCTTTAGTGGATCTCCTGGTGTTTCAATTACTTCTCTGCAGAAAAAACCTTTTCTCACAAGACAGATGCAAGATAAATTCATTAACATTTGTCATGCTGTGATCCTTTAATAATGAATCCCATAGAAAACCCCGGAGGAAGTCATTAATTCTGTAATCAGCACACAACCTGGGTGATGTTCAGAAAATAAAAGGGACAGAACCTGAACTAAGAGCTTACAAGAAACCCTGAACTGTTTTTTTTGAGATGTTTTTTTTTCTCCTAGACAATGAATACAGCAGCTAATACATGTAAAAATAGCATATGTCTAGATAACAATCTTTCACCAACGTGGGGTTTTTGTCTGCTTTTTTGATTTGCTTTCTAAGGCTTCTTGCTACCGTAATCTTGTGGCCTTTGCAATTATGGAGGGGAAGAATAGGTTTGAAAGCAGGAGAAAAGGATTTCGGACAAACAACCATGCACTGGCAATTCACTGACCTGAAACAATCTTGAGAAGATGTGAAATGTATAGACAGCACAAGATCCATCTGTATCTGACAGCATTTGATTGACGTGGCAGCGCCAGGCTTGCTCTTCATCATCATATGCCACTGGTTGGAAAGCTGCCAATATGGCAGAAAGAAATGGTGAAGGAGGTGGGGAAGTTTGTACTTCTGGGAAACCATCCTGTTCTTCTTCATCTTGGCTATAAATAACAAACAACAGAAATTAACTCCTTGGGATTTTTTTTAATGAAAAAACCCCTTCATTTTGGTAAGAAAAAAAAAGAATTTGGAATTCAAAACAGTGTTTTGCAAAATAAATAATCAATCAACTAAGATAACTATGAACCAAGAAAAGAGTGAAAAAATAAAAAACTTCTGCTATTGCAATATAAAAAATTGCTTATACTCTCAAATACATCCGAAGTCTATTAAAACGTTATTTCTATGCATACCTACAGACAGAGGGCTATGTGTAGGTTATGTATAGCTATACACAGCACTATATATATACACACATCACTCAGAAACTGATATTTTTTTCTTGCCCACAATAACTGAATTAACATTCAATTCTTCAAATTTTTATTTATCTAAACATATGTTCCACAAATATCTATAACAAATTCTAGCTTTCATTAAGAGAAACACAACAGCTCATTTAGCAGTGTAATCCTACTTTATAACTGTCTTAAGTAACATCTTAAGTGAATGGAGATAGATTGGAACGCTTTCATTTTCATGGGCGATCAGTTTAACGGCCCTTTGTTCAAAGAGCATTCTGCAGTCATACTTCCCATTAGACACCAAACATCCAATAAAAATATCAAACTATAAATTAATCAATGCTACTACTTGCAATCATTAACTTCATTGTTAAAATTTTCTGTATTACAAGGAATGATACATTTTGACACTTGTTCTTGTATAATTGTACTTACATAGCAAAAATACATGTGACAAGATTCCAAGTATACATAGTTTATTAAAATAATTTTTTTAACACATGCCATTTTTCTCTATAACAACCACCTCATTCACAGTGGAACCAAGTATGTCTTAAGACTTAAACATGTCTTAAATAAGAAGGGTGGGTGCTGTGTTTAGGTACATTCATTTTAGTAGCACAAAGCTAAAAAGCTAAGATGCAATCCTTTTGAATAATATCTGTAAGCAAAGCTTCAAAAAGATTTTTCAGGTATTTTCTAACTGATGTACCAACCCTATAAACAAACACCTATGTCTCTCTTCAAACTAGAGCTATGGAGTTTTTCTTTTGTTTGCTTAGTGTGAACAAATGAAAGCCTTAAGAGATTTTTCAGTTGCACATTAGAAAATAAACTGCTGTTAACTGGCACCAGCCTTTAACGCTTGCAAGGCATATTGCAGTAGGTTGCATATGGGATTACAAGATTCAATTTCTCTGCTCCTCTCCCAGTAGAACCTTCTCAAATGACTTGGTCCTTCACAGCTCCTCTTGTGTCCTTTTCTGTAAAAGGCTCCTTCAATGATATCTCTGACAGAATGTACACTAAGCCTATGTTCCTATATGCACTAAGTCTATGTATTATTCAGTACAAACTTCTGAACAAATTTTAAGTATGAACAAGCCTATGAACAATTTGGAATTTGTTTGTTTTGGTTTGGGGGTTTTATTGGTTTGTGGTGTTTGTTTGTAGTTTTTATTTCTCTGTTTGTTTGTTTGTGTTTTTGTTTGTTTTCCCTCCTTCTTAGACTGTTACCTTCAAAGGACTTTGTGTTTCGCTTTAAATATGACTCAAACAGCTAGGGCTAACTGTAACCCAATAGTTATTTTTGATCTCCATATTAAAAAATGGAAAAACATGATTTCACTTTAAAATGTCTTAGAAATATACAAGAGACAAAAGACTGATTAACCTTAGCCCTGAAAATAAAACTTGGGCTAATTCAAAGAAAAACTGGCCTAACTCCTACAAGAGCTTTGATTAAAAAAAACCAAATTAACATTTTTCTCCTGTCTTTGGGTGCCAAAATAGGTTCCGCCATAATTCAGAGCAGTTCAAAGGCTTTTCCGTGTTACACTGCTTGCAGCTTGTGGCTGCCAAGAAAACGTTCCAAAATACCCTGACCTCTTTTCACATTTCTAGCCTATTGATAGTGATGAAATGTATTAGATTTCTTTTATTCAATAATTCTCATCTTTTCCTGCAAAGCTGTTTTCCATGTACCAGAAACAACTGCTGAGCAAACCAGTGAGTGTGTTTGCTATAACAGGCAAAACCAATCAACCATTATTTCAGATACACAAAACATTATTTTAGGTACTTGTATTATGGAATTCATGGAAAAAGCCACACCATAAGAAAGCCTACTTTGTTTGATTCATGCACTTGATAACATGTAATCTCTGTTACTTCGAACCAACATTAATCTTACCTAGACAAAGCAGAGAAGTCAGCTTCTTCTTCTTCACATCTCTCGTCTAGCTCTTTCAAAGCAAGAGTGACATCCTCTTCACAGATAGATTCAGAATAGCTCTCAGGAGCTGCTGCCTCTGTCAGTTCTGGGGTCTCTTCCAACTCAAGAGATTCATGACAGACCAGACAGTCTTGTTGTTCTTGTAGTAGATACGACCCAGTGTCTTCACTAGCAGTGCTAACCTGTTCATCCCTTACTGCTGAACTGCCTTCCTGTGAATCAAAAATACTTTTATTACTTTTATTGTCAGGGCTTATGTATTCTTATCAGTTTTTGTTATGGTAAAGTAACAGAGTTATAAAAAACAGTTTACAAATATCCATTTATACTTTAATCCTTCAGCTCTTTGGACTGTTCACATGGTTTTACTTGAGAAAAGACAGGCAGTCTATTTGCAATGTTAATAACTTCTGGATAACATTAATATCCTAGAATATGACTTATTATTTATAGCAAATACAATCAATTAGATCTGCTAAGAAAACACTCCCAGAAAAGTATCCACAAATAGCCTCAAACATACTTAGAACACAATGAAGACTTTAATATTTTACTTTTCTAGGTAAGGACCAGAATTACTGCCTCATGCTTGGCTTTGGAGTCTGGAATCAGTACAGAACATTTCTTCTCCCTTCCACTCTCCATTTCAACAAGTTTCTACAGCATAACTGAACAACAGTGTAACAGATGAACAACAGAAAAAGGACATTCCACCTTTTTTTTTTTTTTTTGCCATTACTGTTAATATGGGGAGCTTTACGGGTTTAACTCTGAATCTCTGTATGTAGGCTTTCAATCACTGGCAATTATAAAGAGAAGAGTAATAAACTCAGGTAGGTAATATTAGAATGACCCTTTCTCTCTTCCCTCTTCCTCCATTAACATTATACTCATTAATATCGCTATATCGAACAGAGGAATTCAGATCTAGTTAATTTACAATGAATCAATTTGAAATCTTTTACTGGATTTTTCTGTGTTATAAAAATAACACTTTCTTGTACTTGTTGTTTCCTAAAGGCACAAATTATCACACATTTTCATTCTTAGTGTGCTGGTCTTCTTCTACTGGCATATCCAAGACTGGTCAACAAACCTTTGGACAGCCTCTAAGCATACACATCACTTCATGACTTTCATCAGTCTAAACAGATTCTCTGACAGATAAATAACGACACATATTAAAAAAGACAATGCAGCTTTAAACAGAACACTATCATTTTCTTTCGCAGTGATCCTAACCTTATTGCACTTTGACGATGGTACTCCTCAATGTGGCACTGCTGTAATTTCACACAGCTAGTGACCTCACTTCTAATGCCTCTTTTGTAAAAGTTAAATCTGGAACTTTATTGCACAGACCAGCCACTTTGTCACACTGAGCGAATAAGGTACATCGGAACACAAGACACTTTTACAATACCACAGCAAAATAATTTGGATTCAAGCAGTGGTCCATTTCTACTATAGATGTTAACATGCGATACAGAACTGCACTGATCATGTCTGGTAGATGTACACGTGAGAGATAAACATTTTCTAGAAGTGTAAGTGCTAATAACTAGTTAAATTTACAGCTACGTTAGACTTCACAGTGCCACGACTCCTGATTTCTGAAGTCTTCCGTGTAACACTGGACATGTCTTTACCACCAACATGAATGTTCTTTAAGTATCTTAAAAATGTGATGTATATAGTTGACAACTCCACAGAACATAAGGAAAATTACTTCTAGTAAACCATACCCTCATAAACCCACAGTGCAAGGGAGTAAAACAGAATCATTTTAGTCAGAAACTTTCATATACTTAAGCTTGTAAACCTTACTGTACAAAATTGAAAATTTTCTTGTAAGCTAGACTGTAAATTCCCAAATGGAACGTGAAATGTCCTTTTTGCAAAGATACATGCTATTATCATAAATCAGCCAAATACATTCAATTAACTATTTAACTCTTCAGCACCCCTACAAGAGAAACAAGGAACTCACCTTCATCTGACCAGCACACACACTTTGTTTTAAGTAATGGCTTCAATTTTTAAATTTTACCTTAGATAAATTTTGATACCTATTTATTTCAATTAAAAACATTTTGATAACTTGACACTTGGCATGTAATGAAATACCTGTGTTGAAAGAGTTTATATATAAAGCATATGAGCATAGGAAAAAACAATGCAATATGCCATGAGTTGTGCAGTATAAGAACTTGGAACAAAATTTGTTTTACTGGCTTCAGAAATTTTTCAGAGTTGATAGTGTCCATATTTTCAAGCTCATTCTTAAGAGGCATAAAGCCAGCTCTCCTTTTTAGCAACAAAATCCAACTAGATATCTAATTCTTGTAGAGAGGTAGCTGAGTGTTTGAACTGTGCTTAAAGAAAACATACGTATTTGACTGAATCCCACATTCTAACAAGCACAAAATAAACCTGGAACACATCACATTAACTATTGCAATTATATGCATTTGCAGTCTTTTTTTTTTTTTTTTAATATAGTAATTTTCTCTGGATGCAGCTTACTCATGAAATTTTTTAAGCCCAGTTTAAATATTTTCATCATTTTTAATGATATTGGTGATTTTTTGTGGGATTGTTTTCACCTGGATTATCAGAAGTATAGTGATTTTCTAAAGGGAGCAAAGAACAATGACTCCAAGTATACAGGCAGTCTCAAAAAGAACTATGAAAACAAAAAAATGAGTTACAGTTCAGAATGTACCACAAGTGAATAATGGAGAGGATAAAAATTCAATCACAGTGAATTTCATTCTATAAAATCTCAGCTCATATAGCACCTCTCCCTCTTGAAATCCTAACATAAAACATCCATCCAATGTGGAAAAAAAAAAATCCAGATTAAGTGTTCTTCCTCACCCAAAACTCTATTGGAACAAAAATGCATGTTGTAGACAAGCAGATGAAGCGCTAACAGATCAACCTGTTTGACAATTTAAGCACACGTGCTCTACAAAGTTAAGACAGTTTATCAACTGCAGTGTAACCAAAACACTTTAAAAAAACCCCATATAGATAATCATAATGGAAAAAACATGAAAAATTAGGGAAAAGGCTGCTTTATAAAAGTTACAATATCACACTTTTAGAAGGTGAAGATTTTATCACAGGAAACCACTCACTCACACTTTCCCTTTGTTGTACTCTAAATATGTCTTTTGTTCTTAAGAGTTACCTTCATTAAATGTTAGCTAGGTGGGTGGTTTGCCTGTTAATACGAGTGATTTCTAGGTAGCAAATAGGTGGACTACAGCCTTTGTTGAGAAACCCCAGTCACACAAACCAGTCAGTAGACTGTTTAAACGTGGTTGGCCAAAGACTCATTCTTAAGTGTAAACCATGCACTCGTTATTCCTACACATAGGAATAACTTATCTTCCTGGAAAACTCAGTAAAACCGTATGTTCTTTTAGTTAAACATGGGATTAGCAATGCAAGTCCAAATAAAAATGAGATTGCCAGTAGCATCAATAATTTTACCTGAAGAGATAAAATGTCGACCCAAACCCAGCCACTTCAAATTCAAGAAAAAAACCCAACATATTGAGGTCTTAGCTACAACTGCTAAATATTGTACGAATTGTAGCAGATGAGTTTTATTTTAAATTATGCAAAAGATTTAAAAAATCAACAAACAAACTGAAATACTTACAGATTTGCAGGTGGCCATTAGCTTGAACTCTGTCTCAGTCCACAGAGGGCTTTCCAAAAAAGTATACCACTAGCATCTGTGGTCCTTTTTAAAGGATTATTTAATGGAACCAACTGCTAACACAGCTGGCCTGAGGTTTTATTCCCATATAGCACCAATCACATTAACCCAAAGAAAGAAAAAAAAAAAAAAAAAGTGGGGGGGAGGGGAAAAAAAGTATTTGAAAGAAGGATTTGAACTGTATCAAGTAAAAGCATCTTGAGTATTAGCCTATTTTCATTCTGCACCTTGAAATTATCATTATCAGCCCTTCAAGAATATTTTTAACCTGTGGTAAGTAAGTTCCCTCAGTCCATCCCAAGTAGTTTTCATACTGAAGGAACATTTTCTAAGAACATTCCAACAGGTTAGAAATATTAAAAGCAAATCAAATAATCAGTGTAACAGATGAAAATTCAGTTGAAAAGAAAGCCAAAGTTGATACTAAACACTAGAAGGAGCCCAAATCAGCCATGCACCAGCCCACATTTCTCCCCACCTCAGGCAGCTGGTTGCTAGAGTTATCTAGAGGAGAAGCCTCCAAACTTGGGGTCTCAGTTCTGATTTGAAGTACCTCTTCAGTTCCCACACTGCTAGTGGAATCTTGAGACTGAAGTGATAAACCAGCATGATCTGATATTGTCTCGTCTATGGCAGAATCACTGTTTAACTAAGACAGAAAAGAAAGAAACATGAAATTCTTCATACTTCATCAACTATGTAGATTACAGGGAAACACACATTAGTTTTGAACTAGGCTGTTTCAGTATGGTTAGCTATTTGAATTTACTTACATATGACGAGTTTCACAGCCTTACACTAAAACCATTACAAGCATCACATGCATTTCTGTAACATTTAACGTTGAAGAGAAGTTTGAAGGTATCCTTGGGATCTAGAAAATTAGTTCCTTTCTTGCTTTTAAAGGTCTTTGGCACCGGTGAAATTTTAGACCGAAAACGCTGAACAGCAGAGCTCTTTGTTAGGGGCAAGAGTAATACAAACTTTGACTAAAGTCTGACAAGTGGCATACTATCCCTGCTGCTCTCCATCCAGTATTTTTACCTAATTTCATTTATGTAGTGCAGAGAGACTTCTGAGTGGCCAGCATTCTTGACTTTCCTCAGTTATACATACGCACACTTCAAAATCCATAATTAAATTAGCAATTTCAATGTTTAAACACAACTGAGGCTCCCACAGGATCACTTACTGCTCTTATTTAGTATTTTGGCTTTTTTTGAAGCAAGGAATCCACAAAGGCACACACTTTATATATAACACATGCAATTTTCTCCTTAAACAAATATAGTAAGTATAAAGACACAACAAAAATGAATGTTGTACTAGAATTATAAACCTGTTATGTACCACCATCCCTCCACTGATGTTGTTATGAAAAAGAAGCTTAGCCACCTTAATTTAGTTCCTCTTTAGTTCACTTAGGCTGAAAGTGTGAGCCATAGTTATCCATTAAAAGTCCAAATGAAAGCTTAAGTTCTCCAATTCCTTTCACAGAAAAATAACTTACCATCTGTGAACGAGACAGTATCTGACTTGCAGTGAGAGCTGCTTCTTCTTCTGAAGACTCATCAGTATCTTCCTGGTTGGTCAAGTTCAAGCTGGGTGTGCTACCAGAGTACTGACATTCTTGAAGAGATGGTGTGTCTCCTTTGTCAATACTGTCAAGAGAGCGCCTACGAACGCCCCAGTTGAAATTGTCCATGCTTTCACCCTGTAATAAAAAACACATATGTAGGTACAAATTTCAACACAATAAAATTCATACACAAATGCAACACAGAAAACACAAGTCCTGAATGCGTTATGAACAGAGTTTCAATCAGCCCTTTAATTTTATTAAAATTTTAAATACCTTATTAAATGATGTTTGTAGATAAATTAAAATATATGGCAAACGAGGGAGAAATCTTTTGAATATCTTCTTGGAAAGCAACTCAATATATAATCTAGAGCTGTATCAGTATCAATTTTATATATCTGACTACAAAGTACAAACACACCACAGACAACAACAGATCAACAAGCCAGGGCACCAGGCTGCAACTTACCTGCAGCTCCTGGTTAGCAAAAAGGAAAACACACATAATTAGAAAGAACGAGGACAAACACTTAAAGATACTCTAGAACCAGGGAAAAATGTTTTATTACATAAGATTTGCCAACAGTAAAAGACTGATTCAAGCTCTGAAAAAAAGCTTTAGTCAAAAAGCTAATATTTAAAATAATTTCTTTTTCTAATGGGAGATTGATTAAAAAAATAAACAAACTGATGACAAAACACTAAAACCAGCATGCTTATGATACATTTTCTCTAGTATAACATTTAAAGCAACTGTTTCAACAAACACCAGATGAAATTCTTTAACTAACACACATGAATCTGAACTGACCACATCCAACTGACAAAGCATCATCAACACCAATTATATACAGGTTGTAGAAAAACCTATGTCTTCATTAACTGTTTTGCGTCAGTTTTATGAAATGCACGCTAATCACCAATAGCTGGATCTTTTCTGTATGCACATTTTAAAGCTGAGATACTTGCGTTTCAATAAATCAACATCCAAGTGAAATCTGTATCTTAAAAACACTAGTGTTTTAATTCACAAGTACAGTAACAAACTTTGATCTTCTCAGGCACTTTGTCAACCTTCAACAATTAATCTTAGTAGGATGCAAAATCTGATCAGTTCACCAGACTACAAAGAGTTCTGAAAACACCGCATCTAGCCCCAGATGTGCAACCATGGGTTCCAAAACCGCTCTAACAGAGTGGGTGTCTCTTCTGGTGACTTAACAGATCATCATGTTGTATTAAATATACAAAGCAAATGCAATGTTTTGTGGTCTCTTTCTCTCTTAGTGATTTGTTTTACTCCAAAAAAGCTGAGTAGTTATGGCAGAGCAAAAGAATCACAAAAAGTACTGTGGACTGAAGCACTTGAAATTTAATCTAAGTGTTACTCAGATTTTAATGTAAAAGCCCAGTTAATACCATCGACATTTAATTATTAGCAACAAAGAACATCCTGTATTTTTGGTGCAAAGGCTGCTCTTATATCAAGAGCACAATTTATATGTAACACCGTAATTTTGTACAAGCTGTACTTCCCCCCCCCCAGTATAGCACTATGGGTTGCACACAGGCAGGTAATGAGAAACTTGTTTTCTTCATTATGATCTTCTATTAAATGCACAAAATGAAGTTAAAGATTAGCTTGGTTTGGCAAAGTTTTCAACTTTTGGCATCCTACCTGCAAAATTAAAATAATATTTTCCTACTATTGAGCCTTGATGATTCTGAACTGTTTGACTACTTGCATTCAATATTGGAAACTGTATCAATACAGTGTGTGCTCACATATCTGTAACAGACCATAATGAGCTTGTAGCTTTCCTAGAAGATGCAAATATTGGCTGAAGTGAAGCAATACACAGGAATCATGTAGGAAGGGATCTAAAACTAAAGTATTAGGGGGGTGAAAAAAGCAAGATTTTCTAAAAAAGGCTAGATTAATCAGGAGAACAACAATCTTAGGTTTTAGATTAGGCAGATACTCTTCTTAGCAGCTTGTTGACTCATGACCTGCAAAGGTCTCCATTGCTAATTCAATATTTTGTATGGACTGTAACAAAAGCACTGAAAGAAACTACAAAGCATTTGATTTCTTCTCCCCAGTCCTTTTACATTCCTACTTTAAAGCCCTAGCAAATTCTGAGTGAATCCTTTTATTTATTCCAAGCAAGTAACAACTGTTAACCGGATCTTTACTATTTCTTGATATTTAATTTTATTTTACCTCCTCTCTCTCTTTTTTGATAGGAGGAGAAGTGGAGGAAATGTAAGAACTGCAACAAACCAGATATAATGTAAAAGTCAATGCAAGCAATTATGGTGACCAAGTCAATCTCATGTAATGAGATAGTATATTTTACAGTTGTTAACTCTGAAAGCTATTCTTCATGTTTTCAAATTGCAGAAATATACCAGGAGTAAAAATTAAGCCATTTTCTTAACATATTGTTCCATAACTAAGTTTTCTACTGCATCATACCAAGCTGTGCATCCTGTCATTGGCTTATACTGTCACATCACTTCACTTTCAGATTAAGTCACTTAACCTCCCCGCCAAAATCTCAGCCCTCCTGTAAAAAACACCCAACAATTGCAACAACTTAACACTGAAAAGTTTGTTACATAGGTTTCTTTATCATGCAAGTCAAGTTCAATCATGTCATAAATTTTTCCCAATTGGATTAGTTAGAAGAGCTGCCAATTCCTTAGAATTGCACCAACATAACCTAATTTTTAAAACGTTCTCCAATGGAAATACACAGAAGAAATCCCAAGGTCTCACCTCTGCATCTTCCAGTTCAACATCTAAAAAGTCAAAGTCTTTAAAAACACCAAATTGTTGTTCACTGGTATTGTCTTCTACAGCCACTTCCTCCTCTTGAATCACTTCTTCTGTTGTTGAAATAAGACTAGTTTGTTGATCTCCAATTTCCAAGTCTTCATTAGAAGAAAACACAACCTGCAGAGATGGGTAAAAATAGAAATAAAAACTCCAACTTGTGTAACTTGTAGCTAAAGTCAGCTATCCTGCTTCCTGCAATTTAATGGCATTAGTGGCAGCTAGCTTGCCACTATAATGGTAATACTAGGGCAAGTGCAGACTGCAATTCGTTTCAAGACTAGTTGGATTTTAAACTACATTTTTAAACTAATTATATCATTCTCTCAATCTGAGAGGCATAAATAGAGAAGAATATATTCCTGAACCTTCATTTTCATAACCACAATATTAGTCAAACTTAAGAACAAAAAATCCATCCTCATAATAATCATCCACATGACACAGGTCATATCATTTCTGCCTACAAATTTTTGTGGAAGGACTGTATATCTTTAAAAAGACATCCAATACCGGCTTCCAGTGACTATAATCTTCACAAATTAAAATTCGCTGTTCATTTCCATTTGAATTTTCTAAAATCTCTTCAGTTTCAGCTTCTAGGCATCTAAGTTTACTTATTTTACCCGCCTCCACTAGATCCACCTCCCATCAATATTTTTCCCCAGCTAAGAACTTCTATGTCACAATAAAAAACAATATCCTAGATGATAACCAGGGTAGGCTACTCGCTCTATTTTAAAAGCTCTTAATGTCATCACCACCATTAAGCTTAGTACCTCAGTGGGGGTCTTTTCTGTGCCATACATAGAAGTAACACCATTTGCCTATTTTTCCTCAATAGTTAAGACTATTGTTCCTACTGATATCCGTGTTTGTTTGAAGGCATATGATCCACTGATAATTTTCAATAGATTCTATGGTATTTTCAATACAGCACCAACATCCCTGCAGTCCTCAGCTATTGCTGCCCCTTCTCTCTGAAGTGCATCTTATTTATAATGGACTAGATAAGAGATTTAGTCAGAACAGGGGAGACCCAGTTCAATCCCCTCTTCTAGCCAAGACAATGAAAAGTCATGCGTGCAGCCTCAAACACACAACACACTCTTCTTGAGTGGCAGTGTAGTCCTGCTCTCCTGTGAAGAATGTAAAATGTTGAGAAAACGTATTAATGATGAGTCCCATCAACGGAGCTCCTTAGTAGTCAACTAATTTAATTTGGTGAGGAAAGATCTGAGTTCCAATTTCCAATCCGACGATGTGTTTTGATAACCACAGAAGATAAAAATTAAGAATTTATCTTAGTAATTTATCTTTGCTTTAACACATATAGCCTTCCCCCTGTAAGACTGACCTAAATTCACTGAGATGGCAACATTAGTTTTGAGTGAATTTAAATACTGTTTTGAAACCTGTTTAGTAAAGAACAAATAATAGTAATTAATTACTTATGATTCCATATCCAATACCTGAAAACACAATAGTGTTTTTACTACAGGAATTTAAAAATCAAAACAAACCACCATCACACCACTTACTGAAGGATTCTTGGGAAGACCAGATTCTGGACCACACAGAGAAAGCACATTCATTAGCTTCTCCCTAGTTCTTCTCTGAAAAATATACCACAGAAAATCACATAGCAAGGCATCTGCTGGAAGTCCAGGTGAAAATGTAAAACACCTGCATTTTTAACTAGTCATCCCACATGCTGACATACTCTAAAAATAATCTTAGCATTTTTTCTTTTCACCAGTATTAGCTTTTGGTTTATGATATATTCATTTATTGTTTTGCTAAGACACAATATAGACTTCAAATTACATTTCAACAATTTTTTTATACATTCATAAATACTGTCTGTAATACATGTATAAGGTACTTGTGACACAATGTACCTGAGATAGTTGTGGTCTCTTCCAGCTGACGGGAACTAACGCATTTGAATTGGAGCCTGATGAAGTTGAAGAAGTGCTCCGGGTGACAGCAATGACTTTTGGCTTCCCGTTTCTACCAGCTGCACTGTGTTGATCACCATACTTATTCCCAATAATAGGCGTCTATCGAAGACAACAAATACTTTATTAAAATTCAAATCCATATGAGTAAAAACTACACATTTTAGAATTTAGTACTATATAAAATGTAGGAGGGTTTGTCTGTTTGTTTGTTTGTTTTTAAGCATTCTGTGAAGCCCATGCCTAATCCACTGAGCACTGGTACACTGGCAAATACAAAGCTGAATACTTCTACCCTGAGCAGCAGGCTGCCATTCTGTCGACTTGTGGTTTTTTGAATCATGCAAATTTTATGCTGACAATTCAGTTATATTTGTTAAACACACTTTAAAAACAACTGTGGTAAGTTTAAAAGATGCAAAGGTTCTCTACAGAATCATTCACAGACATGAACAGGCTGTTTTCACAGACCAACAACTGCACTAACACACGCACACTTCTGAAAACCAAAGATTAAATTCAGCCCCTTTGGCAGCAAATGCTACTCCAATGAACTCTGTGGGAAATCATCTTGTCTCCCAATTATCTGCATGCACTGAAATTTCCAGTAAGGAATTAAAGAGAGGACTCTATCAATTTAAGAAATGCTAAGACATCTCTATCCCAAATCATTATCTAGGGTCAGCTTCAACTAAGAGCCCTTATTTTTGATTACTTCTAAAGTTTACACGATTTTCATATCCCTATATTACACTGCCATCTTTGGCTACGCCCCCTTTTCAGACACAAAATGAGTATCAGCTGTATGAATACACTATTTTCAGTTCTAATGAACCCTAACCAAGGACTAGGGGTGTTGTTTTTAACTACAGGAGGTTTTTCCCCAGTTGTGTCCATCTCACACTGAGATTCCTATATTCTGTATCCTACTCTCTCCTCTAAATTTTCTTCCCCTTCCAAAATCACGCCAAAACTGCAGTACAGGGTTTTAATCCTCTCAGCTCTTGAATACACAACCCTTTATTTGATGATAGCCTGGAACATTCAGCTGTCAGCAGCAGCCAGCTGCATTAGCCTGCTCTCTGACACAGCTGAAATACCCTTGAGAATAATCCTATTGACTTTTAGTAATTAACTCTCCAGACATTCAAAGGGGGGGGGAAAGGCAAAAACACAACATAAATGAATTCAAAGTTTATCTTTCAGTATGACTCTAATTGCACATATGTAAAACTTCAACATCTGTCATTCTTAAAAATGATATTTCTTTTAAAACATATAGCAGAAGGCTAACAGAAAACAAATGGGAGTTTGCAACAGAAAGTCATTATTGCATTGTAATTTAAATATAATAATTACCTCGGATATATCAAAATGAAAATCTAATGTCTTCCCAGGTAGCTCCTTGGAGACATTATTAAAAATTTTCGTGAAAGAGATTTCAGGAGAACCTATGTCACCTCCATAAGACTTTGGAATATCATTAGGTACAACAAGGCTTGCTGATCGAGAGACCACCAGCTTCAAAATATTAAGGGCTTCCTTCCAATATGGACTCTAAAGAGAACGCACACAAACCACAAAACAATCACTTCAAACAAGACAGCCATTTTTAATGTACGGCAGGATTTAAAACTCATTGCAAGATTTCCAAACCCAAAAGCTCTAATCTACATTGGCAGCTTTTGGACCTTGAAGTGCTGGGAAGGCAGCAGCAAGGCACTGGGTCATCCCACACTGCACGGTCAGGTCCAGCCAGGCAGGCTCAATAGCTCCAGGTCACAGTGCCATCTGCACCAGACTCTGTTGCATGTCCCTCACTCCCTGTATTTACACTTTTTTTTACCATTGTCTGAAGTATCTGCCCTTCATGCCCCAGAAGATAAAAACTGACAGCATTTAAAAGCAAAACAATTTCCACCTCCTGGCATCTTTAATTATTTTACACTGAATTTGAAACAGAGAAAATTTACTTCCTCACACATTTCAAAGATCTTAAAAAAAAAAAAAAAAAGGGCAAAAATATTTACAAGGTTTTTATGCAGTACCAGACCAATGGAATGCTTAAAAAAGCTAGGACAAAAGTAGGAGAACAAAAAGAGGCAGAGTCCAAGTGCACTCTCCTTAAAAAGATGATTACAGTAATGTAAATAATTCAGCAGTTTCATCTACGGAGGCTGTGGACACAGAAGACACTTAGACCAAGCACAGCATCTTGTGAGGGTTAAGACTTACACTCCTGAAAATGTTAGGATTCTACCTGAATTTTAAATCTTCCATTTTTTAAAATTAGCAGGATGTCTGTCTGCTTTGGTTTTTTTGGTTTTTTTTTGTTTGTTTGTTTTTGGTTTTTTTGTTTTGTTGGGGGGGGGGCGTTTGGTTTTTTCTTTTTTAATTAGGATGCCATGTTTGTTAAAATATTTTTTTTTCTTCCATTAAAAAAATAAACACCACTTTCAAGGCTCTAAGTAGGTCATGAGAGTCTTCAACAATCTCCTGAATTTCTGTGCATCATAAACATAAAGAAAGTAGTCTCAAACTTGAACCATCCTGGAGCAACTTAAATTTATTAAGACTCACTGTGATTGCAGAGGACTAAAAAAATCAGCTTAGTAGCACCACATTTAATCAAGACATGTTCATTTATGATCTTTCATTTTGTCATCTACAGTAACATGTTTTATCGTATCAAAAATACACAGGCTTCTCTGGAATATCTTTTTGCTAGTACCACTATTTTGATAGAAGATGTTACTTCTAATTAAGATTACATTCCATGGTAGGTGTGGGCTTGCATCTAGGTTAGAGGCAAAGCAAGGCCATCAGGCCATGAAAATTATAGTTATGCTAACCATTCCATTTAGCCTAATGCACTGTGACAGGAGCACAATATCTAAAGTACATATCCATCAATAACAAAACATCCAGGAACACTACTTTTCCTGGTTAATTATGATTAAACCATTTGACTGAAATACATTTGGCAACAATGGAATTCAAGAAAAAAGAAAAGTAGAAGAAAAAAAAAAAAGTACATTGAAATGGTTTTATGCTCCAGGCATTTTCATAAAATCTTTTAGCAAGATGCTAGACCTTCTTCTGCAAAATAGATTTTCAGTAAATTGTGTTCCAAGTACAAAGGATAAAATTACCTAGGGCAAAACACTGCTGTTCATCTTTTGGGGACTTTCTTTAATAAAAAATGCATTCCAATTCATTAAGGTGCATCCTAATGGTTCTCATAGATGTATTAGTGAAAGTGATTTAAACATGTATTTAACTGTAAAACTTCCTTTTGAAAACACATATACTTAAAACATTGAGCAGTATTCAGCAGTGAACATTTCCATATATTTTAATAGTTGAAGGATCATCTCCTCTAACTGAATATTTAGAGTTTACTTTATCTTTAAAAAGATGCACATTCACCCAGGTAACTTGTCCCACAAGATGTAAATCAAATTGGACAAATACATAAGCAGAGAGTGAACTGAAGTACATAGGACAAAAAATGAAATACCATCGAATCTGACTTTGAACAACTATTCTAATATCTGGAATAAATTAATTCCCAAAAAGGTTCAAATGTAATTTCATTACCACTTTGATAATAAGCAGAAAGGCTTTTATAGTTTTTCAGAATACCTACCTGAACATATTTACCAATAACTTTTATGATTTCCAAATTAAACTGTTTAACTGGTGCTGTGGATAGGTCAATATGACTCAGAAGACTGTAAATGATCTGCAGTAAGGACTGTTGCATACTGGATAATCCTTTCTCTAACAGCTAAAAAAAATTTTTTTAAAAGACAGAATTTAATTAGTGCCTTTAATGGTAGCAAAAAGTGAAAGCAAACATTAAAATATAGTTCCATACATGTTTATTTTTCCCTTCAAGAAACTTGTGTACCACTTCATGTTTTCCAAAACTCTGTTTTAGCATTAAAAAGGTAATGCAATAGAAAAATGTTCTTTGTCCTAATTCAGTTTTTTCCCTGAATTTTGACATACTTGTTAGCACCTAATAATAAAACACGTCTTACTAAAGAGAAGTCTTCATACAAATTCAACACCATAAAGCTGTATGGTGTCGAATGAAAAACAAGTACAATTACACCTTAAAGAAGGCTGGTACACACAATCTTACAAACAAAATAAGTACATATAAAGTCATTCAGGAGAAGGTACAAATATTTTTTAAAAATACCTTCATCAGCTTGAAGTGATATACTTCAAGGACAAGCTCTACAAGCTTTTCACACAAGGTACTTTTTTAAAGGCAATAACAGTTTTCCTGTACGAATGGCTGGCAGAATCATATACTGAATTCCATAATTTAAATGGTCTTTCATTATATACTATGCAATACTTGATTGAACTTTGAAATTATTTATTAAGTTGTGATAACAACATCTCTAAATGCATACTTGGCTAAAAAAAGATCTCTTAAAAATTGCACTAAGTATATTTCACTAAAGCCAAGACAGCGTGTGCATTTTATTCATGTAGTATGGAATATAAATATCTACTACGAAACACTACTATCATAAAAAGGGATCATTTCAAGGTACATTTAAATTGTTTCACTCCAAAATGGCAGTAGTCATCCCTTTTCTATATCCTAGAACATTTTAATATATTCTCCCATTACAGAAGACATGCTTTTTTCCCCCCCAATATTCAGAATAATGAAAAATAAGGAATTGGCAATGAGTAAATGTGATGTTGTTCAGAGATTGTCAACATGAGATACACTTTTATTAAAAATTTACCTCTGCAAGATAAGTTACAAGGTTAAGTGTGGCATCTGAGAAAGAGTCATGCAAATATCTACACACTACGTTAATCCAGTTAGAACAGTCTCTGGAGTAACTGTGTGTACTATATAAACTCATCATGTGAGCCAGATTGGCAAGAGTTGGTGATTTCTCCTCTGCACAAACCTGAAAAGAGAAAAGGATATTTAATTGTATTAGAAATGACAAATTTTTAACCTAAGCATTGACAAGTCATTATGCACTTTCCAAGATTTCACTCTCTTTCCTAATAACCAAAATCAAACTTATCATACAAGCAACACCTACAGTTTCTGTTGAATTTTGGTACAGTAGCTTTTAAGGCACAGCAGTAATTTCTGGATCTGCATCAGGCATGCACTCCTTTGAGGTGGCCTGCGCGCAGTTACACGATACACATATCAGAGTTTGAGCAGCCAGATGGTTACGACTGCATCTCCTACAACAGACAGCACTTTCTTATTCCCCTTTCCCAGTTCTTCCTTAAAATGCAGACTTTCAGGTCAGCATACCTCCAGTCTGGCTGGAGCTTGTTGGTGCCTACCATGTACTGCTTTAGCAGACCTACAGTTCAGAAATACTCCAAGGTTAATCAATGTGTACAAATACTCAAAAGAACATACTTCCTTTTCTTCTCTACCTACCAGTCCAAAAAGGTAAGGATCACTTCCTTCTCATAAGTAAATTAGGAAGGTGTGCTTACAAATTAAGTTCACATTTAAAACTACAAACTGAAAAATCAGACAAATAAGAAAAAGCAATTGATATCATCAATAAGGAAATGTGTTCTTCATATCTAAACTTTATAGAATAAGCCAAACGTGCATTTTCATGGAGAAAGGGAAACTCAGAGGTTGATACAAGGTCCAACTATATAAATTAGAACTAGATCACATGTTTGAAATACAACCTTTTACAGTTATATCTATATTACTATTAGAATCACATAGAAGTACTACATAGGGGAGCAGAAACATACAGAAACAATGCTGGTATAAACTCATAGATACTTCTCCCCAAGCACCATTTTACATACCTTTGCTATCCTGTCAGCTGTCTCTTTACAAAACTGAGTTGGGTTATCAAAATGTTGTATCAGATGAGGAAGTAGGCACAAGATGTTTAGGGGAAATCCTAAACATATACATAAACACAGTTATATGAGCCCTAAAGATTTTTAATATGACTTAAGAACTCTTAGAGCATGACACATTCACACCGATATATAAATTATATATACTCATACATGTACATAAGTGTGTGTGTATTTAGAATTTACATAAATGTGTGTGTTAGGTATAAATATGCATAAAGATGAAAATAATCACCAGACCAATTATGCAAAACTATTATGAAACTGGATGGCTTTAGCAGAACAATCACATTGTTTCTAAAATGTGTAAACTTTTAAAATACTACTAATTGAGCTAGTTAGCAGAAGATCATGAAAAATTACTATACATGCTCTTAAAACTCACTTGTAAGCAAGTTTCAAGGAAGTTAATAGTCAATACATAAAGTTTACATGCAGTATTTCTTGGCAGATGATGTCTGTGATGCATCCCCACTATCTAGCTCTGTAACATTTAGAGCATTTAACTGATGGGTTTTTTTTAAGGCAAATGCATAATTATTGTTGATTTTGATTACACTTAATTTGATGAAAAAAAAAAATTTTCATTACACATGCATTTACTAAAGATACCTGCTAACTGAGAAGGATCCACCAAAGCATGCTTGGAAATTGTGATGAGTTTACTGAGGAGATGAACTGTCATTTCTTGCGTAGATGCTGAAGTAAAGCCTTTCAAGAAAAGCTGCTGAAGGCCTGGAAAGTTATTCCATTTCAGTTTATTTTGCACCTTTTCTATCTTTTCCCGACTCTCCAATTTATCCAGAGGCAAGTGAACAAGAAGCTTGTTGAGTAGCTTGAGAGCCAAAAGGTATTCATACTCATAATCTGACTCTAGCAACGAAGCTGCAATCCAGAATATGGTGGCCATCAAGTTGACAGGGTCAGTAGTGGGCTGCACATCATACATCCCTCCCTCTCTCAGGGAGGAAAGGCTTCTAGTCCTGGCCAAACCTCCACCATGATTTATCCTTCCATCCATTATATCTAGTGTGTTGCTCCGTCGACGGTCGCATTTCCGCTCACTGATTAAATTCAGTCTCAAAGAATTACTCCTTGTATTGCTGTAGTATCCCAAACAACTGCCACTATTAATGGGACTTGTGCTTAGATTTATCTGTCCAGTGCTTTTCCTATTAGCTGCATACTTGTTTCCCATTAGAGAATCATGGTATGAAGTTCTAAAAGAAAAATCAATATTATGTATTAGTCCATGCAAAATACTTTAGTAACATACAGTTTAGAAAAAGGGAAGAAAATAAAAAGATATTACACTAATCAAATATACACACACAGAGTGAATATTCTGCTTCATCACTGAAGAGTATTATAATAGATGAAAATACAGAGTTTCTATATTATTACTGAAATATCCTTACAGCGTAAGAACAAGACTGTAGCATCCCGTTATGTCTGCTACAAAATCTATTTGTTGCAATCTCAGAATACTAGAATTATATAACAATTCAGTAAAATCAGAAAAATTAGCCTATAGCATGTAAAAGATTATCTGTGAATTAAGAGCTAGCATTCCAACTTACTTATAGATGTGACAGAGAAATGAATGAATTAATAAGTGAAATTAGATACTTATTACCTTATATTTATCTGAAGTATCTGACCTAGAAGAATCAACACCTTCCAGTTCTGAGTCTCAGAAATTGAATATTCCTAGAAATCTCAACATTTTCAAAAACTTTGCCATGAAGTCAAACAGATAAAGATGCCTGTACATTTAGGGATTTTTTTTCAGTTTGATAAAAACATCATTGAGCTGACCACTCAGACTGTAATGAGACACACAAATGACTCAGACTATTAAGTTACACATCTCATATATGGACAACAAATCTGAGGGCTAAGACAGGCTAGCACTTGCTGTAACTGAAGAAATCTCTTCTCTGTTAATATTGGAAGCATTAAAGCAGTAGATGTGGTCTATCTCGA